TGCAGTCACGTCCTGGCTGCGGGGGCTGCGGCTCCCCAAACCACTCTCGCAAGTCACCAGGTGGGGCAAGGATTGGCTGGCCGAGGTTGGGGCGGGCATGCCACGAGTCCAAAATAACTCCCGCCCGAGTCCCTTCCCTCGGAGCAGAACGCGGCCAGGAGAGCCGGGAGGCACCACGTGAACCAGCCCCACGTCGTCCCTTTTCCAAATCAAAAGCATCTCTTGAGGAGACTCCTGAACGCTACGGGAAAAGCTACTTGCCCAAGGTCACCGGCACCCAAGCCCAACTCCCCCGCCAGGCCGGTGGCCCGCACCTGACTATGGGGCCGCAGCTCGGCGGGGCGAGGCGCTGTCCCCATCGCCTCAAGGTCTCCTTCCCCAACGCCGCGCTCCGGGGCTAAGCGGCTGCCCGCCGCCACGACGGCCCTACCAGGCCGCCTCCCTCCCCCGAGACCCAGGTCTGCGCCCCCCCCCCGAGGCTCCCTCCCACCCGCCAGGGCGGCAGGGGCACCGCGGGGTCCGCGCCCAGCGCCGCCGCCGGCCGTTACCCAACTAACCGTTATGCGCTGTTCGCGCCGCCAAGCGTGTACGTGACACGACTGGAGTCCCGCAGGGCCCAGGGTCCAGGTCGCGTCCTTCGCCAGCTACCTCGTTCGCTCTCTCGGGCACACACGCGGCCGGGAGGTCACGTCGCAGCTCGCCAGCACTTTGTCGGGCCGGGCCCGCGGGGCTGCCTTATAATCCTCCGGGGGCCGGAGCATGCGCACAGGGGGCGGAGTCGGCCCTCCCGGCCGCCGCCCCCTCCCCCCCCCATACATACGCCCGAACCGCGACTCGCGCCTCCACACGCTCTCAGGCGCGCGCGCCCGCCCGCGCTCTGACGCGCGCCGGCGCCCCCTCCCCGCCACGTGACCGGCGGCCCGGCACGACCCGCGCTCCGCGCCCCCGCTATGCGCTTGCCACAGGGCTGCTGTGTTCCTCTGCGGAGCTCGCCCCTCTGGTTCCCAGTCCAAGGAGTTCGCGGTGACCTACACGCGTGCGGGACATCGGCGCCGGCCTCCCCCTCAGTCTCTGGCAGAGAAAAGGGAAAAGCCGCCAAGGACGAATGGGGCGTACCCCCGGGGGCCTGACTCAGGTGTGGGGGGCGACGGGCGCGCGGAGGAGCAGGAAAGCGACTGGAAGAGGAGGGACTGGGCAGGGTGTGAATGGATGTGGAGCCACCTCGGGCCCGGGAAGAGGCCTAAGGGGCGGGCGGTGAGAGCGCTCGGGCTGTGGCCTCCGCAGAGTTCGGTGAACTCGGGGAAGTCACTCAAACCCTCGGGGCCTGTTTCCTGTTCTCTAAAATGGCAACAGTAGTAGAACCAACCTCCTGGGCACTTTTGATGAGAGAAGTGATGGAACTTTCTTAATACAGAGCCTCCCCTGTGGCATTTGATGAATGCTGAGTGTTAAACACAGAAGTCGGGAAAGAAGAGCAGGTCAGAGGGTGATGAGACTGGTCCCTAGGGAGGTGTGTATGTTGGAAACATGGAGAAACGAGAATGCAGAGGCCAAGTTTTTCTGGACACTGAATGTTCGCGACAGGATATAATTAGAGCTAGCAGTTCTGAGGGACTGATTATATACTTAGCAGTTCACCTGAATTATCCTCATAACCTTCTGAGGTAGGTAACTATTATTAACATTTTACAAATAAGGGGCTTGAGGCTCAGAGAGGTTAAGTAACTTTCCAGAGGTCACAGAGTAAGTGACCAACATCCAAAGTCAGACTCCAGAGCCTGATTTTGTTCTAAGAGCCATTGTAAATTCTTGAGCAAGTCCAGACACTGGAAGTGTATCCTTTTAAGTGATCAGCTTGAATAATCATGAAGTGTCTCTTTGTTAGCTTTTGGAAGATACCAAAAATGTATGAAGGCCCCTACCTTCAATGAGTTTACAAGTTCTTTGGAGGGTTGAGTCAGGCAGAAGAAATCAACCAATATTTGATGACCACTTGCTGTTGTCCCCAACCCTGCCCTCTCTCCCCTTAATTCTCACAGCCTTGTGAGGTTGGCCTTAAGGTTTTGTCTTGCAAATGAAGAACTAAGTTTGAGGAGTGGGGGCTTGAGGGATCAGGTTCTGAGATGTAAATGTTACTTTCCCTTCACCCACTCTGCCTCTGTTTCACACAAAGGAAGTTTTCAGTTATAGTTCAACACCTCAGAAGACAGTACATAATCTATGGCCCAGCACCGCCTATGAGCAGTAACTGCTTTTCACTTGATAAATGCAGAGAATTAAGGCAATTCAGGCCACCCCAGTGGCCAGGATTTAGAACTGCAGGGCTTTAGGATTGTTAGGGTGGTAGCAGCAGCATTCATGGTAGATGGTAGGAGAACTGAGTTAGGGAGAAAAACGGGACTGGTTCAGACATGAGCTTATCAGGTCCAGAACCGTAGAATGTAGTGGGAAGTGGTAGAATAAGTTGACTCCCAGGAAACCCGAAAAGAAGGCTTATGTAGGAACAGAGTGGGGTAGGTTTATAATACCAAGCCAGGAGCCAGGTCTCAGTTCCAATTTTGTTACTTTGCACTTACAAGCTCTGTATCCCTAGGCAAATTATTTTACTCTCCAAGCCTCGTTCTCTGCTCTGTAAAACAGGGATAGTACCTACCTCATAGGGTTTTTATGATAATAAAAATAGTATTTTACTTAAGAGTCTGGCATATAGTGAGGATTAAATAATCGTATAACCATGAAAAACCATGAGACTGAATCCTAAAGATTAATTCTAAAAGCACTTGAATAGACCGCTTCCAGGGCCCTGAGGGGGGCCCTAACAATGTGTTCACAGAATCATGTTAGTGCTTTATTGTAATTTTGTATTCCTTTTCTTGAAAATGTCCACCAAAATTGTATACACCTCAGGCTCCACAAAATCAGGATCTGCTCCTAGCAGTAGTGTTGTGATAAGGGTATAGACTTTGGAATCAGAAGGCTTGTTCCCATAACTTATTATCTGTGTTACTTTGGACAATTCAGTGAACTCTTCTGGGCCAGCCAGGTAAACTGAAGATAATACATACCAGCCTGAGGTGTTGTGGTAATCAAATAAGAGTATTTGCAGAAGGGGTTGATAAAACTTGGAAAGCACTCTACAAGTGTTTGTGATTAATATTATAATTTGTTCATAAAGTGCATAAGAGGGAAAGATCACAAGCAAGGGAAAGGTTCTCAGCTTAAAAGTAGAAATAGGATGGGTGAGCTGGCAAAACTGATGAAATGATGCAGGTAAAATTCTTGCTTTTCTCTAGATTTCTTCCTGATTAATCCATGAGACACTGAAGAAATAAACTAGTAAGCACAGGATCAGAAATTTAGAGCTGAGAGGCAGTTTTGCAGAATAGAAATTAAGGCCCAGAGAAGCTAACTTTTCTAAGGCTATTCATCTAATAAATGGCATGACCAGAAGAACCAGATCTCCAGCCTCTAGGTTCTTCTACGGTACCAAGTTGTGGGGTTTTTTTGTTTTGTTTTGTTTTGTTCGGGATTTGTTTGTTTTTTTGAAAGGCTGTCTTTTATTTTCCTTAAGATTTTATTTATTTATTTATCTTTTGGGAAAGAGAAAGAGCGCAGGTGCCAGCAAGGGTGAGAAGTGGAGGAACAGAGGGAAAGGGACAAGCTGGCTCTGTGATGAGGGACACAGGCTGGAACCCACGACACTGAGATCATGACCTGAGGCAAAATCAAGAGTTGGTCGCTCAGCAGACTGAGCCACCCAGGCACTCCCTAAGTGCGGTTTTTATGATAAAAGCATTTTAGGGGCGCCTAGGTGGCTCAGTCAGTTGAACGTCTGCCTTCGGCTCAGGTCATCCCAGGATCCTGGGATCGGGCTCCCTGCTCCGTGGGAAGCCTGCTTCTCCCTCTCCTACTCCCCCTTCTTGTGTTCCCTCTTTCACTGTCAAATAAATAAATAAAATCTAAAAAAAAAAACAAAAACATAAAAGCATTTCATCATGGAGTCTTTCAAAATCATTACATCAAAACCAGAAAAGGCGTGATGTTCTTTAGTGGCTTCCGGCTTTAGCATGGAATTCCCCAAATTCACTTTCCTGTTTTAAAGGCTGATAGACTGGATGATGCATGGGTAATCTGCTGTTGGCAAGCTTGTTAAGTGAGCAAAATTTCTGAAGATTTTAAGGTAGGAGTTTTAACCTCAGAAATTAGTATTGGGATGAGAAATGCAAATGCAACAAGTTTGAAAATTGAAAATTTTCAATTTTCAAATTGAAAGCTATTTAAGCTGAGTAAGTTAACCATTTATCTAGAAAAGGAAAATAATAAAGTTAGAGTGTATTTTCTCTGGAATTCAAATACTTCACTTACATTCCCTTAATTATTCCATCATTTCTGTGGTGGAAGATGCTATTATCCTCATTTCACTAACACCAAACAAAGCAGGAAGGGGTTTTTTAAAAAACACAATAATAGTTTATTGATTAAGAATACTTCCCTACTTACAATTTATAAGAAGTCAAAGGGGAATATGGAAAATGAAATTTGAAATTTGCTTTTGTACCATGTATGAAAAAAAGTCTGCTAAGCAAATACCTAGCATAAAGAAGATAATGTCAATGCTAAAAAACATTCTTTAGAGAACTCTTGGGGCACCTGGCTGGCTCAGTTGGTGGAATGTATGACTATTGATCTCTGGGTTGTGAGTTTGGGCCTCATGTTGGGCGTAGAGATTACTTAAAAATAAAGTCCTGGGGTGCCTGGGTAGTGCAGTCAGTTAAGTGTCCGACACTTGGTTTTGGCTCTGGCCATGAGATCAAGCCCTGTGTCGGGCTCTGCGCTCAGCATGGAATCTGCTTGAGATTCTCCCTCCCTCTCCTGCTTGTGTGCGTGCATGCGCTCTCTCTCTCAAAGAAATAATCTTTTTAAAAAAGTAATATCTTTAAAAATAATAATAGAGAACTCTTTCATTCAGAACATCTCTAATTTTATGTTATATATCATTGTGGTCTTGCTGCATCCTAAGGGCCAAGTCTGGATCTAAGATGAATTTGCTACCCGTTGAAGGAAGACTGACTCAGTGTTGGTGAGATGTATGTGTTTCAAGCATTGCCCTGAGCTCTCCCCATTTTTCCTTGGCACTTCTCACTCTGTTTTGACCCTTCCCTTATCTCACCAGCCTGCAGTTTGGCATCCTAATCAGTTGGCCTCTTTGGCTCTCTGCTGGCAAGAGATGATTTGGTTAAAACAGTCAAAACAAACTGCCACATATGAAGAGTGCCTCAGCAATTTGGTAGAAAACAAAACTCTCAATAAAAATTTCCTCAACGTGACAGATTAGTCAAAAATGATTATATCCAATTACTGAATTTTTGTGTGTTTAGTAGTTTTGATGGCCAAATATTTGCTTTTCTACTTCTTTGAGTCTTTGAGAATTTTTTTGTGAATAAATATGTGTTTTTCAAGGAATCATACTGTCCTACATTTACTAGCACACATGTACTAATTGTAATTATACGTGTACTAATTGTTTACTGTGTTTTTTAATATTTGCAATGGCTTTGATAGTGAGGGATATTTATATTGTTTTTTAATAATTGTCTGAAATTGAGATTAAACCCCAAACTTGGGGGGGGGACCTAAAAAATTATGATAAACTCGCGCTAATGCTTAAAGACTTCAAAGTTTTAAAAGATTTAAAGACTTTAAAGGTCAGAAAACAATACATATGTATTGTTATATACCTTGGTAACAAGTACCAAGGGTATTCCTTTTGACCTGTTTAGCCTCTCATTCAGTTTGTTTCAACCAAACTGCCTGAGGCTCTGTTTGTATATGGCAGTACAGTTCCCATACGCTCACTTCATTCCTGGTCTGATAAAGCTTGTGTCCTGCTTCTTATTTCTGCCAGCACAGAGACAGTTTTGGTGTCTGCTCTTTTTAACCTGTATCATTAATTAGGGTCTTTCCTGGCAAACATTCCTTCTAGGCATGGTTCTACATATTTGCCAGACCTGTCTAACTTCCTGGCTAACCCAAAGCTCCTTCCTTCCTTTTACTTTTTCTCCCTCCTTCCCTCCCTTCTTTCCCATCTTTAGTATTCTAGGCAGATGGGGTGGAGATTGGAAATAATAATGATAAATTGATGATAGCTAGGATTTAGGGAGTGCTTACTATATATTAGGCATGGATCTACGCACTTTACACATATTAACTCATGTACTACTCATAAAAATGCTATGAACTAAGTACTGCTATAATCCCCAGTTTACAGACAGACACAGATACAAAAGGTTAACTTGCTTAAGGTCACATAATCAGTATTTTCTGGAACCATCAGGAAGTATTCATCATTTCGTTCTCGCCAAAAATACATGAGCAGAAGTTGTCATTTATAACTATTAATACCGTAGGAGATCACTCCCTAGAGTTTGAAGGCCATCTTGACTTAGGAAAATCCTGTTCTAGTTTCCTTATATCCCTTGTAGGGCTAAACAACCCTGACAAAAGCTGTTGGCCACGAAATCTGCCTTCGAAACCAAAAAATGCACTACAGGGAACTACTCCCTGCTTATCTGAATTTGGGATAGTTGTGCTCACTTCTTGTATTCATAAGGCACTTCTAGGCACCAAGTTGGGGGTGGAGGTATTGAGACCTGTTTCTTAAACTTCATTTTAAGATCACCTGTATTCTGGGAAGTTCTGCGTGTCCTGGCGCCCATATTCCATGCTGGGAGATCTTTCTGAGAACATGGACCTTTCAGCCCCTACTCAGCAGCAGCAACAAGCAGTTGGAACTCCAGAACAGCTGTACCTCAAGCCTGATGTGACTCAGAAGAGTGGTGCATGCAATGAAGGAGGCCTCTTAGGGCATAATGACTAGCTTTATGTATCCCCCTGCCTGGGTAGCCAGACCTGGGTGTTCTAACTGGACCTTGAGGCTGCTGCACTGGTGAACATGAGAGGCTGAAATAAAGCATGAACTCAGTCTGTGGTGACTTCTGAGAACCATCAATCTGCCACAGGGCCCATGCCGTACAATATCTTATGTCGCCTGTACCCAAGTGAGGTCCAGGGGCTACCAACCCCACTTTTGAGCTGTGTATTAATGAGAGGGAAGCCTCTTCCCTCCCCCCAGCTTACCTTTTATACAAACCATTAGTTCAGATGTTATACCTGTTGTACTCTGATAGGATTATTTTTACGGCCATAGAATAAGGTTATACCCCCCTTTGAGTAAGGTGGAATGGTTTCCTTAAATAAGACATTTTCATTATCAACCAATCATAGAGGAAGAAGGTCCTCACACACAAAAAAAAAACTTGGAACATAGAACAGGTAGAAGGGGCACTTGTGGATTTACCTTTTCAGGGTTTGAACTTAGAGGAGTTAAAAAATGTTGAGGGCCCTCCTTACTGATATGAGGGAAATGGCCTTTGCCACAGAGTTGCCTAGTAGGAGCCAGGCCAAAAGGCTTTCCTAGAGACCCAAAAGGGAAGGTAAATACTCATGTTTTGTAAGTCTGTTTATTGCTGCATTACTCTGCTTATCCCTGAATTTTAGTCAAGTTTAATCTGAATCACAGATTCAAACTGGGAAGTCTTCAAGGACTAGGAAAAGTTAATCAGCCTGGTATAAGATAATAGGGAGTGGAGCAGTATGTGAAAGTACCCTTCTAGGCCTCAGAGTTCAGATGTTTCAAATGTGCTTCATGAAGCCCTTCCCTTTATGGCACTAACTACAGTACATGTTTGCTTGACATTTCTACATCATACATTATTCAGTAATACAAAAGAAAATAGAATTCTTTAAACTAATACTTTATTTTTAATCAGCATAAAGGAGAAAACAACAGTGACAGAAAATTGTGTGGGGGTTAGAAAATGAGGAATGGACAGGCAGTTAGGGAGGGGAGGGAAATACATATTGCAGCACCTAGTTCCAGCTCGGGCTCTGCTGTGCTATTTAAGAAGCAGGCAAAAAGGGAGGGTACCTGGGTGGCTCAGTTGGTTAGGCATCTGACTCTTGGTTTCATCTCAGGTCATGATCTCAGGGTTGTGAGATCCAGCCCTACGTGGGCCTCAGCACTGAGCGTGGAGTCTGCCTAAAGATTCTCTCCCTTTGCCCCTCCCCCCCATCTCGGGCACCCATTCTCTTTCTCTCAAAATAATAAAATCTTAAAAAAAAAAAAGAGCAAGCCGAAAGGGAAGTGCTAACGCACCCCCCAGTCTTCCTCATGGTGTTGGTGATAATTTGTGTCACATGCCCAAGGGAAAGTTTAATGTCAGAACAAGAGCTTAGCAACAACATTTGGCAGTCTCCTCCCTCTATGGAGATTCTCCTTTTAATGTCACCTTTGGCAGATCAGGATTCACATTTAAGAGACCCAGTGGACCTCCTGACAACTTCCTCAAAATTCCACAATTTTCTCATCTCAGGCCCATGGTTCCATTTTGGTCATCATGGCCACAGTGACTGAAACGGCCCACTACATCCTTTGAAATGGACAGCCTTCAGCTTCCGATTCCAAGCTAACTGCTTATAGACAAGTTCTTTTCTCTCTCGTGTCTTCAAACTCATGGTCTCAGACTGAGGGCTTTAACTCTATCCTGCTTTGGCAGGGCCCTCTTTAGGTCTTCTAGGTTTACAAATATACCTTCCCCTGTTCACCACCTCCAATCTGGTAGCAGGAAAGAAACTGGAAAATCTTGTAGTAGGGGAATACCCTTTGTACTATGCTACCAACCTCCAGGACTGCTAGTCTACTCAGTACCTCAGGGCCAGAAGTAGAGTAAATCTCACCAAGCTCAGAATACGGTATTCTGAGGAAGTCATCGTTTTTACCACTCCCTCATCCCCACCGTGCACACACATCTCATGTCGTTTTATGTATACTCGCCTTAGCCACAGCAGTGGGAACCAGAATTGAAAAGTTAAATGCCACAGAAGTTAGTGAGAGGCACAAAGACATAAATTGCAAACAGGTAACACTCATCAGGGTAGCCATCCAAGTCTAGAACTACATACACTGCCTTCATCTCATGTTCTATCAGGCCCAGACAGGCTAGAAAAACAGGGGTTTTTGCTCCTGTTTCCAATGAAAAGTTAATCTGGAAGCCTTCTTCTTCTTTTTTTTTTTAAGATTTATTTATTTATTTATTTGACAGAGAGAGACAGCACAAGCCGGCGGAGCAGCAGGGAGAGGGAGAAGCAGGCTCTCCCCTGAGCAAAGAGCCCAATGCAGGGCTCAATCCCAGGACCCTGGGATCATGACCTGAGCCGAAGGCAGTCACTTAACCAACTGAGCCACCCAGGCGCCCCAATCTGGAAGCTTTCTAACTCCATCTTGTATAACCCCTGTGGTCCACTAGTCATTCCTTTGACCAACCCAGGTGTGAGACCACATTATGCATGAAACAGCCAAGATGTGCTTCAACCATAACATGGAAGTACATGATTCAGGCTGTGTTGGCAACCAAGCCCACTTACAGAATCCAGTGGAGTGAGAGAGAGATGGATTCCAAGTGTTATTGGGGAGAACTCTTCATCACTGCAGCCATGCACCTAAACAAAGGTTTTTCTACCAAGAACTTAGGGAAATCCCATCCCATCTCCCCAAACTTACAGATATGTTGCTAAGCTATTTTTAGCTTATAAGTCCTTTAAAGCTGAGATTTAAACCTAGGTCTGCTTAACTCAGCCTGTGCTAAAGTCTAGGCTATTTTTTATTTTATTTTGTTCAAAATCCTCAGGTTATAGGGAAGGATAGTGATGAGGAGGATAATAAGAGGCAGAATATGCGGGGTTGTTTCAAATTCCTAACCCTGACCATTCAGCCTTTGTACATACTGTTTCTTCTTCATAGAAAACACTTCTTCTTTCTACCTAGTAAGCTGTGTACAGGACAACCTGGAGATGAAAGAGAGCCAGATAGGGCGCCTGGGTGGCTCAGTTGGTTAAGTGACTGCCTTCGGCTCAGGTCATGATCCTGGAGTCCCGGGATTGAGTCCCACATCAGGCTCCCTGCTCAGCAGGGAGTCTGCTTCTCCCTCTGACCCTCTTCCCCCTCGTGCTCTCTATCTCTCATTCTGTCTCTCAAATAAATAAATAAAATCTTTAAAAAAAAAGAGAGAGAGGCAGATAGACTAACAAGGGAGTAGTTTTAGTAATTCTATTATGTAATTCAAACCTCTTCATAATGCAATTTATGTTCCCCACTGATTAATGTGAATTAATAAGGTTTCATAATTATAACCAGATTCTTTTTACATAATTATTGTTTATACTTGAATAAATTGCTTAGGAAGGCCTCCTCCTCATCCAAATTGAATGTAATGTTTCATTTCCTATTTCCTTTATGGGGGTACATGATTATTTTGGGAAAAGCATTGGTTTGAGAATTAAACGCTACGTCTTGCTCTATCTCCCCTGGAAGACCTAGATCTCTTTTATTTTTTTTTAAATATTCATAAGTCTTACCAATCTGTGGGAAGGGCTCTTAGTGGATCCTCTCAAGTATTAAGGACCTCAGGCAAACATGTATGCAGTTTTTGTATTTTAAAATTCAGGTATTCCAAAGCCCTCATGTATTGTCCACTATTAACACAAAAGCTGCAGAATTCAGGAATTATCTTAACAGTATCGGATAGCCGTATAAACATGTTGTGATCTAATTTATACATTCTCCATGTAGAAAACTTTTCCTCAGGTTAGGAAAGCAAATTAAATTTCTCCTTAATTTCCACCTGAGAAGTGAAAGCTGGGGTGTGTGAGGGACAGGGTATATTTTAAGGTAGATAAGAAAGACCTAATACCTCAAGGATAGATTTTCTACTGTATGTCGGAGGGAAGTTTAAATTATGTGTTAGGGTTTGGTGTGCCTTCCTGTCAATTTGGGAAGTTAACCTTTCCAGGACAGTCTCTACTAGAAATTAAGGCTTTCTTTTCAAAAAGATTTTTGCCTACTCCTTTTCAGAGAGATTGCAAGACAGTTTTAACTCACTGAAGAACATTTCCCACCTTTCAATTATCCAGTACAGCTGTAGTACAGTTCTTTTATTCCTCTTCCTTTTCTTTTCCTTTCCTTTCCTTTTCTTTTTTCTGTTTTTTTCTTCCCCTTTCTTTTCATAGACTAGAAGGTATCCAAAAACAAAGGTGTTCAAAAATGGAAGTATACATACATGAAGACTAAGGACAGTTCCATGTACCCAGGTCTCTAGGCAGTCTTCCTCCTGGCCTTTTCCTCTTGCATTCTACCCTTGTCAGGGGGAAAAAAAAGATTATAGATTCCCACTTAAGTGCCTTACTTCCCTGAGAATTTTGATTCTTGTATTCAAGACCTATATGGAGTTTGGTTTAGATAGATTTTATGACACCAGAATTGTTGAAAAGCAATAAATTACTACTGTAATTTGTTTCTGTTTATTTTAAATATTAGTGATCTCTGTTTTTAACTTGTTTGGGAAAGAAGGAGCTATGAACTTTTCTCAGCCTTTGATGCAGGACTCTAGCTAAACTAGCAAAAGATGCTGCCTCAAAGAAACTAAACATTTTTTTCTTTAACCATTTAACTTTCTATTCTCCTTCAAAATGTATCACTATAAACTTCTTACAAACAGGGACTGTTTCTTCTCTTGGTATCCTACAGATTGCTATATATAAAGGTACAGCATGGCTAATAAAACCTTTTGACTATTCTGAAGTGGTAAGTGTCATTATAATAATGATGATGATAAATAGCAGTTAGCATTTACAAAGCCAATCTACGGTGCCAGACACTGTTGTAAGCATTTTACATAGAGTTGCTCAACGTAAAACCACTTATCCAGTTGTCTTTATTTTTTTGGCAAAACTCTTTAAGAATCTGTGTGCTTTAGTGAATTCCACAGTTCAGCCTTCATCTCCCCAACAAGAATAGCTAGAATTCCACTGTCATCCCTTTTTCATTTTGATTCCAAGAAACTGTCACTTTTTAGATCCATGCTTGTCCA